ATGGCATAAATGACGCATATGACCTCAGCTGAGGATAAAGAAGTAGACGGTGCGTTATGAACTCAACTGAGGACATTGGCAACCATGATAGATTAGTACTGGCTGTGGGGAGTAGTGCAAAACAGCAGAAATGGGAAGGAGAAAATAAACACACTCACACACCAACGTGTACACATTCACCACAGAGAAGACAAACCAGTTCCAGTGGCTGGTGTTTATCTTCTGCAACTCCTGCACACACACCGACAGATGGTAACAGCGGCCATTGGCAGAGCTCCTTATTCCCTACCTCACAAACATAATTCATCTCCTGCAGCAGTGTGTGTGTGTGTGTGTGTGTGTGTGTGTGTGTGTGTGTGTGTGTGTGTGTGTGTGTGTGTGTGTGTGTGTGTGTGTGTGTGTGTGTGTGTGTGTATAGTCTGACCTGATCCAGTTGCATTCTAACCTTATTGAGAAACAAAGAGGTAACAACAAAAACATTTAGAGCGTTCAATCACTGTTGGTGAAAGTGTTTTAAAGTTGCAGTCGTCTCTAAAGCACACACTCACCTGTTCTCCTGTCCACATCCGGTGTCTGTCTCGTCACTTTCTTTACATCTTCAGCTAATCCAGCAAAATATGTGCCTTTTTTATAAAGACAAAATATAAACATTGTGCACAGAAAACATGGAAACATAAAAAAAAGAGGCAAATCACCATGAAATTAAAACAGCATTTAATCGCTATACTGCAAAGTATTTCCAAACAACTACAATTTTAGTTTTTATATATTTGCACAAGTGTTCCCCACATATATAGTATTATAGACACTAGCTTTTACCCACATGAACACAATTAAAGTTACATCTTGTGTGTTATTGCTATATCTGTGTCCTTATTTAACTAGCAAGTGTGTGTGTGTGTATACGTGTGTGTGTGTGTGTGTGTGTGTGTGTGTGTGTGTGTGTGTGTGTGTGTTTGTGTAATTTTGCATTTGTGTGCATTGTGTTTGTTTCCCGGGGAAAACCCTCATGAGAAACACCGGCTGTTGTTATGCCTGCTGTGATGTTAAGGTACTCCGTTCTCCGTTTGTAATTATGCCGTTACAAGCTTCAAAGTTGTATTTATCATCTGAATTTGCCGAAACAACTTTAATATTCTGAAAGCCAAGACTTTGTTTAATTGAAATCAGATGAAAACAAACTGTAACGG